CCCTGATGCCCAGTGCCAGCCTGCCTCGTGGCCCACAGCTGCCTCCACTCCCGGTCACCCTGCCATCCTCACTGCCCCCATCCCCAGCTGAAAGCCCTGGCCAGCCGCCCCTGGGGATTGACGTTGCATCGGTGAGCTGGGAAGTGGACTGGGCTCTAGGGGTCCAGGCTGGGAATTTGGAGAAGGGGACCAAGGATGAGGGGCAGGGGGATAGGCTGTGGGCTCAGGGTGGGGAGCACAGGTAGGGGGTTAAGGGAGGGAGGAGAAAGGCTGCAAGGGGTACAGGCAGAGGGACAGTCAGGAGCCTCAGCCAAGGCTGCTACCCAACTGTGTAGATGGGAAAACAGAGGCAGGGGGAGTGGCTACTTGCCCCAGGCTCCATACCAGATGGGCTGCCCCATGTTGGGCTTCCAGACACCCCTTGTCCCTCTTGTAGCCTTTCCCTCCCTGAATCTGGCTTCTGTAGAGGTGGAAAGAGCTCAGAGGGTTCAGGGAATGGATTTCTGGTAAAGGAGGGACCCAGGAGAACTTGGGAGGGGTATCTGAGGGCAGCTCTGTGAGACTCATGGTCACCAGGGTTTGGTTTGCCCCTCAGCCCCCATATTCCCTGGGCTGCCCAGACGTTTACCCTGTTTCCCCAGGGGTAAGGGCCAGACCTAGGGGAGCAGGACCCAGTGTTTGGGATGCAGTGAGCCTCCCACTCACCACACAGTTGGAGACCCTCAGAGGTCCCACCCTGAATGCCCCCCAAGAGGTGCCCAAACCTGTCCTTTAGGGGAAATGACAGATACAAGAAGGGGATCCTAAAGCTGGAGTGCATGGTACCCCCAGTCTTCTGATGCCCTTGGCTGGGTGTCTTCCATTGGAGCAGAGATGCTTGGGGGGATATGGGATACGAGTGGGGTGGGCTCAGAGGATGGAGTGACTGCCGCCCAGCACATCCAGGAGAGAAAGACCCCCTCCTGCTTCCACACAGGTCACTCCTTGGTGCCCAGGAGGGGCTGCAGGGGCTCAGTGGGGAAAGGGTGCTCCCAGGAGGCCCAGCCATGTGCCCCTAGCTGGGTGGGTCTACGTGCTGACCCCCTTGTCTTGCAGGCACCGTCCCTGCAGCAGTACCGCACGAGTGCCGGCTCCCCAGCCAACCAGTCTCCCACCTCACCTGTCTCCAACCAAGGCTTCTCCCCTGGGAGCTCCCCACAGGTGAGCACACCATCACCCTCATCCTTCCACTTGTGCAGCTGTGTGTTTCCTGTGTGTCTCTGTCTGTGCCCCTACCTGCACCCCATCCCATCTCATCCATGTCCATCGGCTGGGGCCTGGCAGGGCTGGGGGCTACTGATGGGGCACCAGGTGGGAGGTAGGAACAAGGGGGTACAGGACTAGGAGGTGGGGCTGGCCAAGAAGCAGAGTAAAAACAGGGTGCTAAGTGGGGGCTGTCCAGGGACAGATGCCTGGATGATGGAGAGAGGCACTGCTTCCAGCACCAACTGGCCCTCCCCACAGCTGCCCACACCTCTGAGGTCCCTGTGGGTCACCACTTGTGTTAGTGATGGCCTAGGCCTGCATCAGCCTCACCTGGGCCCTTTACTCAAGAGCCAACGACAGGCCTCAAGGCTCCACAGCCATAAATTCCCAGTCTGCCCCATTGTGTGCTCTGAGGTGTGACCCTGCCCCGCCCTGAGCTCTGAACTCCCAGAGGATCCCTCACTGTGGGAGAACACAGGTGCCTAGGGTTCTGGCCCCTATCCATCCCCCGCCCCTCCTGCCCCCTGCCCCGACAGCCTTATGGAGCTGGGGAGGCAGAGTCATCATGCTCATCCCAGGCTGGGCGGTCTCCACAGAGCCTTAGAATCATAGGGGTCTGTGCCCCATTTCACAGACAGGGAGCCTGAGGCCATCCCAGACCCCAGCAGTCAGAGGGCTTTGCTGCACATCTTAACAGACTCCAGGGTTTCCTACCACATCTGCCCCTCACTCCTGCCACATTCAAAGTGAGCATGGATCTCTGACCCACCCCCAGTCTCCTCAGAGTTTCCTGACCCCTTCATCCTACAGAGGCTTCTGGGTTCACCCCCAGTGAGAGTTGTAGCGTTAGTAGACCCTCCCCTCGTGGAATAAGGGGCTTCACAGCACCCGCAGCTCTGCAGTCATGGGTCTTTCCCTGCAGTCCTGGGAGCTTCCAAGCTCCCAGAAACCACTGCAGCACCCAGGCCCTGAGCAGGACCCCAGGTGGCCTTGTTGCTCTCTGCCTGATGCAGGAGGGACTTCAGGGACAGGGCAGGGCTCTCCTACGCACACAGAGACTCCTACCTTTTCTATCACTGCATGGGGGGAGGGGGCTCCTGGGGCCAGTCCCATGCAGCCTCCTGGCTCCATGTGAGTGGGGGACGGTGGCAGTGACCCTAGCAAGCAATGATGATGTTGAGGGCAGTCTTGATGTCCATGCGCTCTCAGTTCCTGCACGCCAGTCTGAAGGTCTCGGCTCCTTCAACATACTGGTCTTGAGAGCAGCAGTGTGAGGGATTTGGGAGAAACAGGTGGGGGGTAGGACGTTGCTGAACTGTGCAAGTTCCCCCTGGGGCAGCAGACAACAGTTGCTGATCCCTGAGTCACGTCCCTCTCACCAAGGGAAGGACAAGAATCAGGGATTGGGTCACCCAAATGATCGGTTAATTCTTAGGCCCAAATCTGAAGCAGATTGGCTGGCCCCATGCAGACAGCAAGAGTGCTGCCATCTGTCCAGCCGTGCTTGTAGGTGTGTCTGTCTGCCGTGTGTGGAACCATAAGAGTGGGGCAGCCTTGAAGAGCTGGGGAGCTGAGTCATTATCACCCCTGTCCAGAGACAAACGATCACTGACCCATGGCCCCAGGAACCAGCCTTGGCTTCCGAAGAGGCCTGGACGGCTGAGCTGTATCAGGCACCATCCTGCTATCTGTTCTTTATTGGGGAAGTCCAGCCACAAGTTGGTGGCTCCCTTTTCAAAACCTGAAGTGTTGATTTTTAGAGTAAAGGTGGGTGTCCAGTCTCCTGTGGCTGCTATAATGAAGTATCACAAACTGAGGGGCTTAAAACAGTAGGAATTACCCAAATCTCAAAAAAAAAAAAAAAAGGACGAACTGATTTTTCTCATGGTTCTGGAGGCCAAAGGACAAAATCGAGGTGTCTGCAGGGCGTTTTCTCTCCTGAGGCTCTAGAGAAGGATCCTTCCTTGCCTCTTCCGGCTTCTGGCGGCTCCAGGCGTCCTGGGCCTGTGGGTGTATCTTCTACGTGGCATCTTCCTGTCTATCTCTGTCTCTTCTCCTCTCTTACAAGGACAAGAGTCACATAGGATTAGGACCCTCCACTCCAGTATGACCTCTTGTTAATCTAACCGATCATTGCAAAGACCCTGTTTCCAAACAAGGTCACATTCACAGGTACCAGGGTTAGGATATTTGACACATCTTTTTGGGGAACAGTTCAACCCATGACAGTAGAGTTTTGGCCATGTTGCCATTTCCTATATTTCCTGGCATTTGAGAGGCACAGGGAAGTCCACCCTCACAGACTCTCATGTCCCTCATTCCAGCGTTGGGCATCTCCCCTTCTGCTTTCAGCCCTGCTGACCACACACAGCAACCAGTTGGGCCTGCGTTTTGTGTGGTCAGCTCCTCTCTGGTCAACCAAGTCCCTGGCTTCTGGCTTTGGCCGCTGTCAGAGCACATGGAGCTCTTTCTAGTGTTCCCAGGCACTCGTGGGTCTTTCTGGAGCATCTGTCTGTGGAGCGTCTTTTGGGGCACAGTGTCTGTCGGGGCATGGGGGTCTTTCTCTAGCATCCATCAGGGCATGTGGGGGATCTTTCTGTAGTGTCTGTCAGGGCATGGGGGTCTTTCTGTAGTGTCCGTAGGGGCATGGCAGTCTTTCCATAGCATCTTCCAGGCATGTGGGGGTCTTTCTATAGCATCTTCCAGGTATGTGGGGGGTCTTTCTATAGCGTCTGGCAGGGTGTTTTTATGTCTTTCTGGGACAAAGCTCAGAGAGAGAAGGTTCAGGGCATTTGTTCTGTGGAGACACTTCCCTGGACACACAGTAGTCTCATGGATTATGTGACCCCTTTGGGGGCAACTGAGGGCAGCAGAGAAGATAGGCTGGGTTGCAGGAGGTGGCTTCCAGCTGTGGGAAGCTCTGAGGTCCTGGGGCACAGGAGTCACATCCCCCTCTGGGGCTGCCTGCACTCATGCTCAGTGCATTGTCTCGGCTCTGGCCCTCCCCGCCTACCTGTCCTACATCTTCTCCTGGGCTAGCTGGGGGCCACCAAGCTCCCTTACTGTCCTGAGTGGGAGAGATGACTCCTGCCTTGACCCCAGTCACACCCCATTCTCCTGATGCCTGTCCCTCTGCCCCCCACCTTCCATCTAGTGGAAGTGGAACTGCCCCCCAACCTGGACTTGAGGGGGAGGTACAGAGGCCCCCAGGAAGCAGGCCATGGGAAGAAGTGCATCACAGGGCATCTAGTGCACCCTCGCCGCCAGTCTCCAAAGGTGGGGCCCTAGAGTGAAGGTTGCCATCTCCTCCATGTCATGAGTGTCCTTCGGGGTTCCTGAGAGGCTCCCCTGGCTAGAGCCCACCCCCAGCAGCCTCTCTCTGTCCACAGCACTCCTCCACGTTGGGCAGCGTCTTTGGGGACTCCTATTATGAGCAGCAGATGGCAGCCAGGCAGGCCAACGCCCTGTCCCACCAGGTGAGCCAGGGCCAAAGAAGGGCCCAGGCCCACGGTGTTGAGGAACCCAGGGTGGGATGAGGATGGGGCCTGGATGATGGGATGGGACAGACAGGTCAGAAGATACCTCATGTCAGGGGAAGGGAAGGAGAGGACTGAGTGGGGCCAGGACTGAGGTGGGGGTACAGAGCCAGTATGGGGTGGTGGCAGAGCCAAAATGGGGCAGGGCCAGGACAGGAATTGGGGGCTGGGGCAGTAGGTGAGGTCTAGGGGCTGGTCCCTCGCTTGTTCATCTTCCATCTATTGGGGACCTGGGAGGGGAGTGCTCTGTGGGGAGGGTGTGCACATCTGCCTAGGGTGCCCGTGGGCTGACAGCCACCTTGCCCACCTCCAGCTGGAGCAGTTCAACATGGTAGAGGGAGCCATCAGCTCAGGCAGCGTGTACAGCCCTGGCTCGACGCTCAGCTACTCACAGGCCGCCATGATGGGGCTCACGGGCAGCCACGGCAGCTTGCCAGACACCACGCCACTGGGGTACCCGAGCCATGGAGGCATCCCTAACATCATCCTCACAGGTGAGCAGGGGCAGGGGAGGCCTGAGACCCCAACCCTAAGCCAGGGCAGGGATATACCTGGGGCCATGTGTCCAGCGCCCGATGGTCCAAGCAAGCACAGTAGGAGTCTTAGGACCCCCCATGCCCCAGCAGTCCCTGGCCTGCTGAGTGGGCATGTGGGCTGGGACATGCGTGACTGTGGTGTGGGCTGACACATGTAACAACTGTCACACACCGTGACCAGCACTATTAAGAAGCCTGAGCAGGGGCACTTATCCAGCACAGAGCCCAAGCCCTCCCTCCTCCCCATATTCCCTGGGGACTCTGGGCTTTATTAAGGGAAAAAGTGTTTTCCTGAGCTGCCAGAGCTGCTGGAGTGGAGGGTGAGAGCGCCCTCCAGCGGCCCCTGCTGGCATCTCTTGGTGGAGCCTCCTATAGCCTGGCTTCAAGTGTGAATCTTGGGGGAAATGGGGAAATCAGACTCCTGGGCTTGTCCTCATAGCCCTCAGGGTCAGTGGTTTTGATACCAACTTACCAGTTGGGGAAACAGGCCTGAAGTCTCATCTCTAGTAAAGCACCTGGGGCTTCATGGCTTGAAGTTCCTGCTGGGACCAGGCTTCCCCTCACCTATGCAGCACTGTGTCCCCGCAGGGAAGTCCTTGTCCCTGCTGCCCCTGGCACATGACCATGCCAGCATCACCAGTCACACACGCTCACCCATGTGGACCTCCTGGTCGAGCCAGGCTTGAGTTGGGGTTAGAGTCCTGGCTCGGCTCCCATCAGGTCAGCACTGATGTTGAGGGCCAGACCATTCTCCGGGCTGGGGCAATCTTGTGCACTGTAGGGTGTGGAGCAGCAGCCGTGTTTTCCACCTACTTGATGCCAGTAGCGCCCCAGTCATGACAAGCACAGGTGCCCCCAGACATTGCTGAGTGTCCTCTGGGGGTCAGAATTGCCCTTAGGTGAGAACCCTTGGGCTTGAGCATTCCATTGACTCCCAAGAGATGCTGTAGCCCATCTGACTTGGACATCCAGGGAGCTGCACACATTTAAATACACAAACTGAGTGGGGAGGGAGAGGGCGGAAACCGCGGAAACAGGATCCTCCTGGAGCCCTTGGGTGGTGCAAACCATCTGGTGCACGGTTGCAGACTAAAAGTTTGGAGGTGCCTCAGAAGAAAGTCCTGATGATCTTCCAAAATTTAAGCTTGAAACGCTTATGGAGCCCAGTTCTCCTCTGGTCCATATAGGGTCACCATGAGTCACTGAATCAGAAACAATTCAGTGTCAACTGTGTGTGTTGGTTGGTTGGTTTTTTGGAGGACCACCTTGGTTTACGCCCTTTAACTCACTGGGAATTTAACCTGGTATATAGTGTAAGCAGGGATCAAACTCAGTTTTTCCCAAATTGTTAATGCAGGGTTTCTCCCCCTTGGCGTCGTTGCCCTCTGGGCCTGGATCATCCTCTGGAGTGGGGCATCCTGTGCACGGTAGGGTGCTGAGCAGCATCCCTGGGCTCCACCCACTCAATGTCATTAGCACCCCGCTCAGTTGAGATAACCAAGAATGTCTGCAGGCCTTAGCCAGTGTCCCCTTGGGGCAGAGTTACCCTGGGTGAGAACACTGATGAGGGACACAGGCATAGTGCTCACTGATGAGACACAAGAATCCAGGGCTCAGCTGTTCCCTTTGTGTCCCCCCCCCAGTAACCGGAGAGTCCCCTCCCAGCCTCTCTAAAGAACTGACCAGCTCGCTGGCCGGCGTCGGTGACGTCAGCTTTGACGCCGACGCCCAGTTCCCCCTGGACGAGCTCAAGATCGACCCTCTGACCCTGGACGGGCTGCACATGCTCAATGACCCCGACATGGTCCTGACTGACCCAGCCACCGAGGACACCTTCCGGATGGACCGTCTCTGAGCAGCTGCCACCACCGCCGCCACCGTGGTTAGTGGTCCCCACAGCGCCGCCATGCACCGGCCGAGCTTGTGATTCTGAGCTTGCGATGCTGCAAAGCGCCCCACCTGCCCGCCCGCTGCCTCCTGGTTGTCCCCTGCCCGCTTGTCCCAGCGTGAGGCTGTGGGCCTGGCTGGGTGGGAGTCAGAGGCCTGAGCCCCCTGCTCATGGCCACTTCTGGTTATCCCTGCCCACTTGCCTGGGCTGTCCGCTCAGGTCTGTGGAGGTCGGAGGCCTGAGTCCCTTGCCTGTCGCCCACCCCTGCGCGTTCTTGCCCCTTTTCCCGCCTGGGGCGTGAGCGGGCCCCTGTAAGATACCAAGAGCATGTGACGGGGGCCGCTGGCCTGGAGGGCGTATCGAGGTGCATCTTCGACTGTTGTCCAGCTCTCACTGCCTTCCTCCGCCCCGCCCTCTGCCATCCAGGCCACCATCCCAGGGAGCCGGCACTAGAGAGGGGCCCGGACCCAAAGCAAAATAAACACTATTTTGACCGCTGTCTTTTATATTTCTGAGCACACCCAAGATGCTGGGCTCCGCGCAGTGGAGGCGCGGTGTGGACAGAGCGTCCCCAGCAGCAGCGGCTGAATCCCCTTCCTGAGCCCCCCAGCCTCGGCTGGTCCTTGGTCACCTCTGCTGCGTGAAACTTCCACCCAGGAATGGAAGACCGTTCGCAGATGCTCAGGGAGGCAGGAATGATTCCGGGGGTTTCAACAGCTTTCAATCTTTCGTTGTCTGTCCTCGGTCGTTGTTCTTGTTAACAGTTTCATCTTGCTCTTTAAGGAATCGGGGCAGAGGCAGCCAGGGCATTTCTGTCATGTTGTTTTTCTTTTGGTTCATATTTATATTTTGGTCATAGACAAGGACCGAACGCTTCCGGCTGACCCTTGGCTGCCAGCATGTTTGACCCCAAGCCCCCTTGTGTATATTTTTACTCTAACTGGAAGCAAGTACACCCTGATTTGTCCAAAATTTAGAGTCGGAGCCATCTGCAGCCTCTAGCACAGCAAAGCCCTGGGGAGGGGCCGGGTTTTGGTTGAGGGTCTGCAAGAACTAGGTGGCACTCCCTGTGGCAGGTGTCCAGCTGGTGCCCCATTCTAGAAGGTTCCAGGTGCTTCTAGAAATACCCCCCAAGACTAGTGATGGACCTGGGGCTGTGGCTGGGCCCTGGGCCATCTCTGACCCTTTGCACTACGGACCCCTTGGCTGCTTTGGAACTTGAGCCTGTCCCCCTTCAAGATGTGCTTGCCTCTGCCCGCCCTGCCTGCCCCTTCTGCTTAGCTCTTCCTGTGGTGTCAGGCGCCATCCATGAAGGGTCTCTGTCTGAGAGGGAGCAGACTTGACCCAGCTCATCCCAGTGATGGCCCAGCTCCCACACTTTCACCCCCATGACGCTGTTGGCCAGTCCCCTGAGAACCAGGCTCCCCGCTCCCCTCCATTGTTCTTGGAGGCAGGCAGGTGGTGGGGCCTGAGATGAGAGACGGGACTTTTTTTTTTTTTTTCAAAGAGACACTACATGTAACTTGTACATAGGAGAGTTTTATGATGATGATTTCGACTCGTTATGCAGAACTTTTAAACTACATACGGCCTTAATACAGCGATCTGCCTGTTCCCCAGCTCAGGCCACACCCTCTGCCGGCTGCCACAGCTCCCCGAGGTACCTGGTGGCAAGAACATTGATCTCGGGGACCTGCGTTCTGCTGTGCACCCTGAGTCATGTTAATTGGTGGCCCAGCTCCATCGTTACTTGTGTTAGTTTTCCATTGGGGGTGACTGACGTCCCTTGAAGCTTCCCTAGGGACAGGGGACAGGGATTTAGGGCCAGGTGGGAGGCAGTATCTGGGGTGCCTGTGTCACAGGGTCAGTGCCCTCCTGGGGCTGCGCAGACCTCTGGAGTGTACTGTGGGGTGTTTTATTTTATTTTATTTTTTAAGTGTCATTTCTCTACTAAATATTCTTAAGTTGCCAAGACTTTCTGAGACAAAACAGCAGATAGGACCCAGCCACCTGAATGGGTATGAAAATACTGGGGTTTCTGTTAGGCTGCAGGGAGATGGCTGGGGGACTGCTGGGGTTCCCTGGCATCATGTATATAGATTTGGCGCCTTTGTCCTCTCTCTTGAGGCAGGCCTGGACACTTGTCCTCCCGCTTGCCCCCAACCTGGCCAAGTCCCCCAGAACAGCAAGGGCTGAGAGAGCGAGAGAGAGAGCGAGCCTCCCTCATGCCCCTGCCTGGGTTTCCCATCCTGTCTCAGGTCTGCAGGGGCGGTGAGCTTGCTCTCTGCATGTGGCAGTTGGGCCAAGGGGGACCCAGAGTCAGCTCCCCACCTCTGTCACCAGAAGAGTTGGTGCCCCTGTCCTACTGCTACCCTGGGGGGCTGCCATGGGAGGGAAACCAGGGCCTACTCAAGGTGGCATCCCCGTGTCACAGGTAGCAGGCAACCCGAGTGAGGTGCTGGCTCAGTGCCCAGCCTGCACAAATGAGGATAGGCCAGTGCCGTGTGTTGGGGACACCCTGTCCACTCCCTTTTGGCCCTCCTCGCATGCCCAGTGCCCTCCTGATGCCCTTCTGAGGGCTAGGGCGGGTGCCAGCCCTTCAGGGACAGGAGGTTCTAAGACCCTTCAGGGGAAGGCCCAGGGCTTTGTCGACTCGACACTTGAACAGAATTTGAAAGTCCTGCAGCTGGCAGCACTCAGAAACTGGCCAACTGCTGGAAAGGGTGAGCCAGTCATGGGGACACCTTGAGGGGCAGGTCCTCTTATGGGGGTACAGGGGTCCCCCAGGCCTGCCTAATGTAAGGGCTGTAGGGTGTGAGGGTGAGGAGAGGCCCATGTTGGGGGCCTTTACCCCAAAGGACACTTCCCCAAGACCCTCTGCCTCCCTCTGGGTGGGGCGTGGAGGGTGGGCAGAGGGTCTGCTTGCTGCCCTTCATCCTCCTGTGGGGCCCAGGAAAGAGGAGTCTGAAGTCTGTGTTTCTGGCTTGAATTTTTGGAGGGGCCGTACCCCAGGTGGATCATTCCAAGGCTGGGTGTCACAGCGAGTAGGTGAGACCTGGTGTTTGTTGAACAATGAGAGGCCCCCACGCAGAGGATGATTTGTTGTTGTTGTTGTTATGTGCCGTCGAGTCAGACCCGACTCATAGCGACCCCTCCTTGGGTTTCTGAGGCAGTATCACTATGGAAGGAGATTGCCCAATCTTCCGAGGAGTGGCTTGTGGGTTTGAACCACCAACCTTCTGGTTAGCAGTCAAATGCCTTAGGCACTACCCTACCAGAGGTCCTTGCAGAGGATGAGAGGTCCCTTGTATGTCCGTCTGCCATGTGTCCTGCTGTGGGGACAGACCTCAGTATGGGACTGTGCCTGGCACTAACTGTGGTGGGGCAGGCCAGGGCAGGGGGCTCAGGGGCAGGTGCTGGTGGGAGGCTACCCTTCTGTACAGCATCTTGGGCCTGGTGACCTCCCAGGGGCCTCAGAGGTGCCGAGGACGTGGGGGGCAGCCCGCACCCCTGGTCCTCCACATCACTGGTGACCGAACATTAATCTATGCACCTGCCCTGTCTGAATCTGAGTCCATTTCTGTATTCCCAAAGGCTGTCTTTGCACCTCAGCTCTGGTGCAGGCTGAGTGGAGTGAGCGAGCGTGGCAGTAATGGAGGGCCCTGCCTGTATCCTTCCACCCCACCCCCATCATAGTGGCAGCTCTAGTCACCCTCACCAGACCTGGGAGAGCCACTGGTCAAAGGATACAGGGGAACCCTTGAGGTAGGGACTGGGATGTGGGGACCCTCTGCAGGGGCTAGGACACAGTGTGGGTGCTGGGATATGGGGGGACAAGTGCAGGAGCGAGGATATGGGGGGCCCTTCGTGTGGGGGCCAAGACTTAGGAGTCTTTAGTGCAGGGATAGAACACAGGGCATCCTTGGCTTGGGACCACAGGTCAGCACTGAGGTCACTGGCCATTGTTCCTCTGGGTGGCACAGTCAGGGAACTGGGACCCACCTGGAGTGAGTGGGAAGCTGGGTGCATTTATACCCCCAGTCCTCCCTGGGCCCCCACCTCTGGGGGTCTCCTGTGCCTGAAGGTGGGTATATAGCCCTTAGGCATCGTCCTGCCACCTCCTAGGGTCCCAGCCTGGCTGGAAACGGTGGGAAATGGGAACTGTCTGCCACAGCCGCACGTGGGCACAGGCAGGCCTCACACTAACACTGGCTGTGGACACTGTACCCTTTATAGCTCTCCAAGAGCAGGGAGGTGGGGCGACCTGCACCCCCAGGCCTGCCCCTGGTGCCTGGCAACACCCACTCCCAAGGGCATAGAGGGGGCAGGACCAAGTCCCCCACAGGCAGGCAGGCAGGCAGGGGGAGTGGGGGTGAGGGTCAGTTTCCCATCAGGTGGGAGCAAGGGCTGGAGTCTGGGTGAGGGTGCTAGAGGACTTCTGCTGCTGGCGGGGGATCTCTGTCCCTGTCCCCCGGGGCCGGGATTGGGGGCGTTGGTACTCAGCCCCGTCTTCCCAGCACCCTGATCTAGAGGTCACCACCCTTGTTCCCCTCTCAGTAGGAACTCCCAGGGGCCGGGCGCCCCGCTGATATATGCAAACCGCGGCCTGTCCCCACCCCACCCCCAGCATGTACTCTGGCGGCGGGGCTGGCTGGCCGGCCGCTCTCTTCCCTTGGCGCGGACGCTTCTGTCTTTGTATCTTTGCATCTTTGTAATGAAATGTAATAAAACTCCGATGTTTTCGTCTCTGCCTCCTCCTTCCTTCCAATCCCTTCCCGCTCCCACCGGATGAGTCAGAGGCATCGCAGGGGCCACCGTGCTTTCTCCGGGGACAGCTCTCTCCCATCCACAGACATGCTTGTGAACATAGCCCGGCTAGGGGCAGAGCCTCAAGCTTGGGGGTCCCCAGAGACCTACTCCTGGGTTCTGGGGCAGACGATCTAAGGGGTCCCGTTGCCTCCATCGCC